ATCTCTCTAAATTGTCGTTCCATTTGTTTCTTGATAGTTGGCCATTACCTCATCAACATGCTTCTGAAGCTTTTTGATCTCAGATTCACACAGTTCTATATTTTTTGTGATCTTTTGCGGAATTTTCTCTATCTTCTCATTAATCCCAGGCAGATCCTCATCTTTGATCGTCCTCAGAAATTTCATAAACCCTCTCCTTCTTTGGGTAGCTGCCGTGGATAAAGTATTCCATTCGTGATTTCTATTTTCTGTTTTGGCACACTTTCCACAAATGAATTCATCACAGTCCTCACATAACATATCAATAGATAAATCACGGGTTTTACACATAATTATGGGAGCTAGAGGAGAGCCCAGTGAGTATTTTGGTTTACTGGCTGCCATATTTGTTCAAAGTTGCCTACCTATCAATAACCAAGAAATGAAATAAAAGTTGGGTAGATATGCACTTTTCAAGACATTGGACTTTGAACTCGTATTTCAAATTGACAAACTGGCAATGATAAAACAACTCGCAGGTGCACACTTTCAATTATTATGAACAAACAAGGTACTAGGCAGTAACTAATTATTTTCATAACAATTAAACTAGATTGAAAATGAATATCTGCTATTTCACAACGACAAAAATCATAAAGTGAGTAAAATCACATTCATGTAGATCTTTCTACCAATTAATATTTGAATTATTTTATATTTCTTTTCTTTAATTTAATGAATTTAACGAGGCCCGATCTAGTTGAAAATTACGAAAACGGAATGATAAAAAATTTCAATTTTTGGAAATATTTTTGTATGTATGATGCTAAGAAAAATTAGAATGAAATTTTATTACCTTGCCTTTATTGTAGTCAAATGGGGGCACTGTCAAGATATGGACCATTTTTGGGGTTTTTATACACAATTACATAGTAAAACCCTCCAATAAACAAAGAAATCGAAAATTAAAAAAAATACATGATGAAATGTTTTGTTTTTCACACATATCATGCAATTTTCATTCTTCTTATAAAAAATGAAAAGAAAATTGAAGGTAGCCTTTATTGCAGTGACAAGGGGGCATATCAAAACACAAAATTAGCACTTATTTTATCCAACTAGACATAAGTGTACGTAAGTGTGCCATGGATGTACATAACATCAATAAACGATTGCAATACTGTATAAGTTTCTAAAAAATAAATAATTCTTACATTTTGAAATAATTTTCTCTTCATGCTTTCTTTTTTTTTCTTTTTAAGCGACGTTGTTATCCGTGGAAAAAGGGGGGGGGAGGGTAAAGGCGACAAATGACGAATTTTACTAATATCATGTAATATATAGAAAAATGAAATATATTGGGGGTTGCATTGAAATGATTCATAGACTTATTTTTTAAATCAAGCTAATTCATGCATATTTAAGTCCTCAATAGAAAAAGGTGTGTATAAAGACTTCAACATGTTCAAGGAGAAAGACTAAAATCGTTTACTTTTGGTTGGCAGTGTTTGTTTTTTTTAACTCACAAATCGAAATAAAACAAGGTAAAATTAATGAATATGTACCAAGAAATTGATACCTCAAAATAAATCATGTTCCAAAGTTGTTTATCACTTAAAAAAATTAAAAAAAACAAAACAAAACATGTAAATAATAGAAATACCAGCTTTCAACATGTACAGTCTATAGAGTTACCAGGTATGCAAGATCAGCGAAACATTTTAGCGCAATTTGACGTCATTTTAATTGTGACGTTATTGTAATCAATTGTGACGGCAGTCAAGAGTACTGTGACGACGTGCTTGAGTCGACGCTGCGTTAAAACGTATGCGCAGTTCAACTAGATCGGGCCTCGTTAATTTAATTAATTCAAGATTTCTTTAATTTTTGTATTTCAATGCTTTAAATATTTGCAAAATTTATTGATTTCAATGCTTTAAATTTTTGCAAGATTTATTGATTTCAATGCTTTAAATTTTTGCAATAATAATAAATAAATTATTGATTTCATTCAAAGAATATTTTTAAACAACCATCAGATTAATTCTGATATTCTACTGCGTGTTATCTTTATATGTGCTTCCTGACTATAATACTACAGAAACTGAAATCTATCCGAGGAGGAAAGACGTAGACAAAATGTAAAAGTTACCAATGTACTGATTTCGGCGTGCCCATTGTTGTCGACCTTTTCTTTCTTAGGTTCTATCTCACAAATTTGGCGTGGCTGTAAGGACGTATGGCATGAGTCACGTTCCTTGTCATGATGCATCTACGATATGACTAGAGTTATCTCCCGTATCACAATGTCTACAGTGTTTTCTGTCATCATCATTGGAGTGGATTTTGTAGCATCACTTTGGTCAGGAATCTATGATGCATTACATAGATGACTTTTTGTTTGCTGGTAGAGCGCGTAGTAATACATGTGGTTTTTGTACCACAAACATAAAAAAAATAAATCTGTGTGATTTTCTTTAATAATGATGATATATTTTAAAATACGACAAATTACTTGAATACATAGACACAATACATAAAATGCGAAGCAAATTCTGTAATAGAACAAGAGATGTTTGTAAAACACTTATGCCCCCCTCCCCCCCCCCAAAATTGAAATTTTTCTAAGTCCAAAAGTGCACAACTCTGTCAAAAATGGTGTGATCATATCCAAAACATACCTTGACCAAGATATTCATCTGACTAATCTGTATACTAAATTCCAATTCAATATGAGCAACCTCTCCAAAGAAAATGAACAGAAACTGCGAAAATTTGGAATTTTTCTAAGTCCAAGGGGCATAACTCTGTCAATTATGGTGCGATCGTACCCAAAACAAAACTTGACCTAGATATTCATCTGACTAATCTGTATACTAAATTCCATTTCAATATGTGCAACCTCTCCAAAGAAAATGAACGGAAACTGCAAATAATTGGAATTTTTCTAAGTCCAAGGGGCATTACTATGTCAATTATGGTGCGATCATACCCAAAACAGAACTTGATCTAGATATTTATCTGACTAATCTGTATTATAAATTCCATTTCAATATGTGCAACCTCTCCAAAAAAAAATGAGCGGACACTGCAAATAATTGGAATTTTTCTAAGTCCAAGGGGCATAACTATGTCAATTATGGTGCGATCATACCCAAAACAGAACTTGACCTAGATATTCATGTGATATACTTGTATACCAAATTTCATTTCAGTATGTGCAATGGTTATGAAGAAAATGAACGGAAACTAAATGGACCGACAGACAGACCGACCGACCGACAGACAGCAGCAAAGTAATATGCCCTCCCTTTTTCGAAGAGGGGCATAAAAATGGCACATACATTAGTTAACCAAAAGAATAAAAAAAATTCCCATATGCCTGTATTAATTTAATAGATCTTCTTCATACGGTCTTAACAAATCTCCAGCAGGACTCTCAAAAACGAAATCACTTAAAAGTGTGTATGATAAATAAATCTACATACATTTATTGATGTTTAACAATTCTGAACAACAAGAGGCGCATGGGCCACATCGATCACCTGAGTAACTTGGGTGATGCAGTTCTTACCAGATTCCCCCTCTTGCTTTACCTATCATGCCCCACTACCCCCTTCCCTTTTATGATTTTAAGAATTTAATACATGTATCTAAACTACCCATGCTCCCATATAACTTTCAGCTTTCCTGGCCCAGTGGTTCTTGAGAAGAAGATTTTTTAAGATTTGTTCTATGTTTCTATGTAAAACTTTGATTCCCTATTGTGGCCCCGCCCTACCCCCAGGGATCATGTTTTAAGAATTTAATATCTAAACTATTCAAGGATGCTTCTACATAAATTTCAGCTTTCCTGGCACAGTGGTTCTTAAGGAGAAGATTTTTAAAGATTTGTTCTATATATTTCTATGTAAAACTTGGATTCCCTATTGTGGCCCCGCCCAACCCCCGGGGGCCATGATTTTAACAATTTAATATCTACACTACCCAAGGTTGCTTTTAAAAAAGTTTCAGCTTTCCTGGCCCACTGGTTCTTGAGAAGAAGATTTTTTAAGATTTGTTCTGTATATTTCTATGTAAAACTTGGATTCCCTATTGTGGCCCTGCCCTACCCCCGGGGGTCATGATTTTAACAATTTAATATCTACACTACCCAAGGATGCTTCCACAAAGTTTCAGCTTTCCTGGCCCAGTGGTTCTTGAGAAGAAGATTTTTTAGTGACCCCACCCTTTTTTGTCTTTTTTTGATTATCTCCCCTTGTAGGGGGACTAGGCCTTTTATTTAGACAATTTAAACTCCTCTTCCCCCAAGGATAATTTGTAAGGAGTTGAAAATGTGAAAAGTTTACAGACGGACAGACAGACAGACAGACAGACAGACAGACGGACGGACGGACGACGGACAAAATGTGATCAGAAAAGCTCACTTGAGCCTTCGGCTCAGGTGAGCTAAAAACGCTAGATAAAAGCATTTGGTACAATAATATATACCATATATTTTTTGCTAGAAGGTGCACACAATTTTTTTGTTTCTGTAAATACTCGTAGTTGTTATCATAATAATATATTTATGAGATTCAAAAACATAAATACATTTGTAAGATTGTCATAAAACACAATCTTTCTGACAAACACAATTATGCTAAGAGTGATAAATACAATATCTCTTATTATTACTTGTTGGGTAAATGATTGCAAGTTTGATAAAACAAAATTTAACACATTCAATTTCTAAAGACTCATTGAAACATGATTAACACATCAGTCTTAATTTCCAATACATTCTATGGAATATACTTGTATTTATAATTTTACACTCAGTATTGAAACACAATAAGTCTTTAATTGTTTCCCAGCCACAGAATAAACTTGTATAGTGAAAATCCGAATGGAAGGTTAGTTATTTAGTCTTCAAAAACTTCCCTTCAGGACTCAGTAGATGGATTTGTGTGTCAGGCGGGTCATTAATAATGATGATACAGAGGGAGTAACACACTACAGCGTCTTGACTAAAGTCATTGTCAGATTTTAACACTATACTGAAACACTTTGACAAGTCTTTCCTGGTATCCCACCCAGAGTGTAGACTTGTATAAAGAAAGTTTGGAGGGATGGTACACTTTGTTGTCTGTCAGTAAGAACTTTAAAAATTCACCATCAGGACTTAGCAGATGTATATGTTTATCGTGCCTGTTTGTCACAAGGATGTTACAGTGGGAGTCACACACTACATCTAGTGGTTTAAAGTTCTCTGTCAGGTTCTGTCCACGATAGACAGACTTCATACGACCAGAGGGAGACATAATGACTATGTTACCTGTTTTGATACTTGTACTGTTCACAACACAGATATCACAGTTACTGTTCTGTGTGACTCTGTATGGCAATGTAAACAGTCTGGTCTGACCGTCCTCCTGGTACTCATACTCATGGATGACATCACCTGTCACTGTGATGTGTCTCACCAGACGTTTGCTGTGTGAATTTAATTCGAAATGATATGATATATTGTCTCTCAAGGTAACCAGTAGTCCACCGTTCCTTGAATAACAGATTGCTAGTGGTGAAAGTGGATATGTACTGATGATTGTAGAGACAGATCCTGATGGTGACAGATGGTTGATGGAATCGTTACTAGAAAGGGTGAAATAAACATCACCAGTATCAGTCACACACATGTCACCAGCAGCGGTATTATATTTATGTTTTCTCACACCTTCTTTGTTTATTTGTTCAATGTCACCTGATAGCTGTTTTATGCAACATTCATCGTCACACAGTGCCCTCATGAAAAATACCGTTTCCTTTCCATATTCAAATGAACTTTTTTCAGTCAAACTAATACCATCTAAATCAAAGATCTTTCCAATTAATTTCTCTAGTACAGCATCACTGGCGTCCCCTTTACTATATCTCATTGACGGTGTACTACACTTCATATCAACATCTAGGCCAGAGAGCATTTTTATCAGGTCTCTGTGGTTGTCAAGGAAGCCGTAATCTGACATGGTGTTGTTGTTTTCCTCCATAAACTGAACTGTTTCTACAATTTCTTTCTTCTTTCTGTTTAGCTCATATTTAAAAGAATCCACCTTTTCATTGCTTTTCTTCAAATCGTCTCTCAATGTCTTTTCATGGCATTTCCTGATTTCTTTCAACCTGGCCATTATCTCATCAACATGTTTCTGAAGTTTTTTAATCTCAGAGTCACAAATTTCTTTATTTTCTGTGATTTGTTGTGACATCTTCTCCATCTTCTCATCAACCCTAGACAGATCTTTTTCCTTGATCCTCTTAAGAAATGAAAGCAGACCCCTACGTCTTTGCTGAGCTGCCGTGGGTATAGTGCTCCATTCATGATCTCTATGATCTGTTTTGGCACACTTACCACAAATAAATTCATCACAGTCCTCACATAACATATCAAGAGGTAAATCATGGGTTTTACACATTTCAATATGCTCTTGTGAAAAGCCCTGTGGATATTTTGGTTTACTGGCCGCCATATTTGTTGAATGTTGCGTACCGTTCTACATGTATGACCTAGCAATGAGATAAAAATATACCTGTATATTAGACTTTAAACTCGTATTTTTATTGACAAGACATGCATTCAGGGCACAGCGACACTATATTAAATCATCATCAAAAGCTATATTACTTTAAAACTTTGATAGCAATAACATCCAGAAAGAAAATATTTACTGCATAAATATCAGCTAATTCGGCGACAAAAATCATTAATTAAATGTGCAAAACATTTAACCAGAACAATGTATATCGTTTTTTGAATAAAGATTTTTTTCTTTTATTTTGCTGGGTCAAGACTTATTAAAGTTTTTGTATTTCAATTCTTTAAAGTTTGTTGGCAATTTATCATTAAGTGTAAGGGATTTTTAACAGCCATCGTATAGAATTTGATTTACTACTGCATGTTAATGCTATCTGTGCTTCCATGATGATACTAATAGCTAATCTACCCAAGGAGGAAAAACTTAGAGAAAATGTAAGAGATACTTAATATGTACTGATGTAGGCGTATACATTGTCTTGAACCTTTAATTTCCTAGGTTCAATCTGACACCTATGGTGTAAGGAGGTACGACACGCGTTACTTTCTATCACCATGTCTTTATGTGTCAACGATATTACAAGAGGTACCCCCACGTATCCCTAGCCTACATCTGTAAGATTTTATTCACTCTCAAACACCATAAAATGAAAATGAGTAAAAGTGTGCCTTTTATTGTTGAAATCTATGTACATTTCATATTCCGTTACATAAACAAGTACTTCATACATAAAAAAAATCCATGGGTTCTTTTTTAACCAAATTCCCATTATCAGCATTTCTCTCTTTGAGTAGACACTCTCAAGAATATCAACTGATATGAGAGTGTAGGTACAGATTTATTAAATAACTGTCAATAAGTAAGTTGTAATGATATTCTACAATTGCGCAACCTTTAAAAATTATAATATTTCTTGACATAATGGGTGATATACTTTTAAAGTGCAACAAATTACTTGAATACATAGACAAGATGAATTAAATGCATCAAAAATTCTTCAAGAGGAAAAATTGCGCAATATATTAGATAACCAATAGAATGAACAAATTACCATTTCTGTATTGATTTAATCAGGTTAATAGTTTTAAATCACGCACTCTTAATTAATCTATAGACTTTCCAACACAGAATCCATCGCACTAGAAATCATTTATAATAAAAAGATCTGCTGTTATATTATGAATTAACAATTCTAAAACAAAAGCACCAGAAAAAGCGGTGGTACAATTATACGGGTATATGCTTGTCTTCCTCCACTTATAACTGCTTCAATGTTTTGGAAAAAGCTATATAGTATAAACTAGTAAGGTGAATGTTTGAATGGAAGGTTCACTTCATTGTCTGTCAATAAGAACTTCAGGAACTCCCCCAGGACTCAGAGGATGGACTTGGGGTTATGTGGTTCGGTAACAAAAATGTAACAATGGGAGGCACACACTAGTATAACATTGGACTAAAGCTCATTGTCAGATTTTACATTCTGTACGAAAACACTTTAACAAGTCCTTTCCTATATCCCACCCACAGTGTAGATTTGTATAGTGATAACCTGGATGGACAGTTTACTTCATTGTCTGTTAGTAAGAACTTCAGGAACTCACCTTCAGGACTCAGCAGATGGATCTGTTTGTTGTTAAAGTCATTAACAAGGATGTGACAGAGGGAGTCACACACTGCATTACCTGGCCAAAAGTCCTCTGTCATACTTTGTCCACGGTAGATAGACTTGGTGTGACCAGAGGAAGACAAAATCACTAGTTCACCTGTGTTTTCACTTGTGCGATTCACAACACAGATATCGCTGTTGCTGTTCTGTGAGACTCTGAATGGCAATACAAACAGTCTGGTTTGACCGTCCTCCTGGTACTCATACTCATGGATGACATCACCTTTCACTGTGATGTGTCTCACCAAACGCTTGCTGTGTGACTCTAATTTAAAATCATCTGATTCCTCATCCAACAAGGTGACCAGTAGTCCACCGTCCACTGACTGACAGATTCCTCCTGATTGCAGTGGATCTGTATCAATGACTGTAGAGACAGGTCCTGATGGTGACAGACAGCCGATGAAATTGTTACTAAAATCGCTGAAATAAACCTCACCGGTTTCAGTCTTACACATGTCACTAGGATTGATATAATATTGTTGTTTTTTCTCCCCTTCTTTGTTCACTTGTTCAATATAATCTGACTCTGATTGTTTCATGTAACATTGATCTTCACCACCTGCCCTCAGCAAAACTACCCCTTTCTCTCCATATTTAAATAAGCTTGTTTCAGTCAAATAAATATCATCTAAATCAAATGACTTTCCAATGAATTTCTCCAGTACAGCATCACTGACTTCTCCTTTACTATATCTCATCGATGGTGTACAATTCTTCACATCAACATTCAGGTTAGACAACAGTTGTTTCAGTTCTCTGTGGTTGTCAATGAAGCCGTAATCTGACATAGTATTTTTGTTTTTCTCTATGAACTTAACCATTTCTTCAACTTCTTTCTTCTTCTTGTTTAACTCAGATTTAGCAACATCCAACTTTTCATTGCCTTTCTTCAAATTGTCTCTAAATTGTTGTTCCATATGTTTCTTGATATTTGTTAGCCTGGCCATTACCTCATCAACGTGCTTTTGAAGCTTTTTAATCTCAGAGTCACACAGTTCTTTATTTTCTGTCATCTGTTGTGACATCTTCTCTATCTTCTTATTAATCCCAGGCAGATCCTCTTCCTTGATCTTTCTCAGAAATGTTTTCAATCCTCTCCTTCTTTCGGTGGCTGTCGTGGGTAGGGTGTTCCAATCATGATCTCTATGATCTCTTTTGGCACACTTGGCACAAATGAATTCATCACAGTCCTCACATATCATATCAATAGGTAACTCATGGGCTCCACACATTTTAATATGCTCTTGAGGAGAGCCCAGTGGATATTTTGGTTTACTGGCTGCCATGTTTGTTGAATGTTGCCTAACGTCTATGTCTTAAAAACGGTAGTTATGCACTATCAAGTGCAATGAACTTTAAACTTAAATTCCAAACTGCCAAGACATGCAATGATAAGACAGCTTGAATGAGCACACTATCAAATATCGATCATCAAATTAAAGTTATTTAAAAATAGGAAAAAAATTCAACGCACTGTATACGTCTCAGTCAAATCACAGTAACAAAAATCCTTCATGTGTAAAATGTACCTGTAACACTCTCATAAAGACATACGTAACGTACCTTATCTTCTGATAATGTTTAAAGATATTTTAGATATATAATCATTATGACTATAGCACCATTACATGTTCTTAGAAAAGAACTCAGCATGTGTTACCAGGAGTTTTGAATAAATATCAAATGAGGAAAATTTTTGCATTATTCCAAGAAAGTATACAAAAAATACAGAATTTAATGCCATATACATGTATGTTATTCATCCACATTTTTTTTCAAAGAGGGGTACAAAACCATATTTAGACATTAAAAGTATTGCACACTAGTCCTCCTCAACTCCAAGGAAGAAGCAAAACAAGATGCCCATGGGCCACATCGTTCACCTGAGCACTGTGGATAGGTAAAAGTATAAATTGGTTTATTATTGAAAAGGTAAAATCCAAAAGTAGTCCCATGAACAATCATGGATTTTCTATCTTTGAGAAGATTTTTAAAGAATTTTCTTTTATATTTCTATGTAAAACTTTGGTCGGCTATTTTGGCCCCGCCCTACCCCCGGGGGTCATGATTTGAACAAATTTGAATCTACACTACCTGAGCATGCTTCCATATAAATATGATGAATTATGGCTTGGTCATTCTAGAGAAGATTTTTTAAAGAATTTTTCTATATATTTCTATGTAAAACTTTGGTCGGCCATTTTGGCCCCGCCCTACCCCCGGGGGTGATGATTTGAACAAACTTGAATCTACACTACCTTAGCATGCTTCCATATAAATATGATGAATTATGGCTTGGTCATTCTTGAGAAGAAGATTTTAAAGAATTTTCCTATATATTTCTATGTAAAACTTTGGTCGGCCATTTTGGCCCCCCCCCCCTACCCCCGGGGGTCATGATTTGAACAAACTTGAATCTACACTACCTGAGGATGCTTCCATATTAATATGATGAATTATGGCTTGGTCATTCTTGAGAAAAAGATTTTTCCTATAATTATATATTTCTATGTAAAACTTTAGTCGGCCATTTTGGCCCCGCCCTACCCCCGGGGGTCATGATTTGAACAAACTTGAATCTTCACTACCTGAGGATGCTTCCATATAAATATGATGAATTATGGCTTAGTCATTCTTGAGAAGAAGATTTTTAAAGAATTTTCCCATATATTTCTATGTAAAACTTTGGTCGGCCATTTTGCCCCCCCCCCCCCCCCGGGGGTCATGATTTGAACAAACTTGAATTTACACTACCTGAAGATGATTCCCCATAAGTTTCATCTTTCCTGGCGCAGTGGTTCTTGAGAAGAAGATTTTTAAAACATGCCACAAAATTTTCATTAATTGCCAATTATCTCCCCTTGAATGAGGGAGTGGCCCTTCATTTGAACAAACTTGAATCCCCTTCACCCAAGGATGCTTTGTGGCAAGTTTGGTTGAAATTGGCCCAGCGGTTCTTGAGAAGAAGTCGAAAATGTGAAAAGTTTACAGACAGACAGACGGACAAACAGACGCCAGACAAAATGTGATCAAAAAGCTCACTTGAGCCTTGGGCTCAGGTGAGCTAAAAATATGTCCTGAAATCAAAAATTCTTTTAACAGATCTATTTGCGGATAAAGATTTCTTTAATTTTCGTATTTCAATGCTTTACATTTTATTTTGTAGCGTTTATTCATTTAGTTTAAGGAAATATCTCTATCACACAACAACTGGATAAATTCTTTTTTACTATTGTATTTTAGTTTATGTACCGAAATGCTTCCATGATACTATAACAAAGTATGAAATCTACCCTAGGAGGAAAGACATAAAGAAAATGTATAAGAGTTACCAATGTACTGATGCAGTCGAGTACATTGTCTTGGACCTTAATCCTCTCTTAGGTTCAATCTAACACCTGCGGTGTGACAGTAAAGGACCTAGGACAGGAGTTACGTTCCTTGTCACGATGCATCAACGGTATGACAGGAGTTATCTCCCTGTCTTATGTCTGAAAGATTTGAATCATTCTCAAACTATAAAAAAACATCATATTCATTAAAACTTAATTGGTAACTTTAAGCTTTTGACATCAATGTCATATCATCTGGTGTCTCTGAAAATGGTTAGACAAGAGTTACTCTCCTTGTCATTATGTCTATAGCGCTTTCTGTTAACTTTGATCTGAAGGAGGTGTGAGAGTTAACTCCCGTGTAACTTTGTGTGTAACTTCTAAAAAATCACAATCACTAAAACTTTGTGCCTTTTATTTTTGACATCAGTGTATCTCGCATTTTTCATTACATAGACAAGTGCATTTCTAAAGACACTATCAAGAATATTAACTGTATAGAACATTGTAGGAACAAGACTTACTCATTTAAAACTTAATGACAATAGTATTTTGTTATGAAATTCTACAATTACACAACCTTTAAAAATTACAATATTTCTTGATATTATGCATTTACATGTACATGTTTACTTTTAAATACAACAAATTACTTATATACACAGCAAAGACAAAATGTCTGTACACAGAATGCATAGCAAAATCTTCAAAAGAAAAAAATGGCACATACATTAGTAAAAGGAATGAAATTCTATAAGGAATAAAGGTCTTGACTGATGTCTGAATTCAATTCAATATAGATCTACTTCATATGGTCTAATAAATCTACAGACTTAACACTAAATCCATCCCACAAGAAATTGTTCATAATAAACAGATCTACGGTACAATTATTGATTCATTACAAATCAAAGACAAAAGCACCAGATAGAGCAGTCTGACTAGGCAAGTTAGTAAACTGTGCAGAGAGAAAAAGCACTACAATATAAATATAAAGCAGGTCAACCATGATTATGCATTCCAATTGAAAATTCAAATATTCAGCTTACATGAGAATATCAGAATGGAATGAATAAAGCTAGCTTAATATGTTGAGCTTAAATTATTAAAGACAGGAGGAAATTATGACTGTTTGGAAATGCCCAAAGAAAATGTGTCACATTTTACACACTTTAGATGTAAGTTAAATATTTGTTTTAAATCTTTTCATGACAAACAATATTATGCATGTACTAGTGTATCTTTAACATAATACAATCATTTTAACTCTGAGTATTTTTTTCCTGGGAATGTACATTCTTCTTGTCTGAACCTTGCAGTGTATAAATTATGTGACCCTTAATAATCATGTTTAGTTACTTCCAGTACCATATAATGCATATGCTACTAAAAAGTAAATCAAAACAAATCATCAATGTATAAAGAATAAATTCTATTTAACATCTCTTTGAAAAAAAAAAATGTTTATAATGCCTCTTAATATGGCATCTGTGTCACAATGTTTATTTTTAAATGTTTCTTCAGAATCATACATGTATCTTTGAATTAATTACTATTTATTCATCTTTTAGTATAACCCCCACCCAATTCATTAAAAACCATTTTGGAATTCTCCCAATTCTCAGCTTTAGATGATGTTGCTGTAAATGAAATAAAAAATTACCAAATCCTGTGTATTAGCTGTTATTAATATGTGTCTTTTAACAAATATTTTACAAAATATATTAAATAACAAAAATAAATATGTTATACATGAAACTTTACTGTAATTTTCCTAAAAATTCATATCCCTTTATTGAGAATGCATTGAAAATTTTCAAAACAACATACCGCTTTTCCCAAGCATAATCCCTCAAGGTTAAAAGCCCTATTAATGATTTTATATTGTTTAACGCCGAGTCGGCAATTTTTTAGCCATATTTCGGCAAATAAAAGCCCTATTAAAGTTTAACGTTTTGTAAGATAATTATCAAAGCATTACATGTAAAAAGCTAAGTAGTTGCACATGAGTATTGATGTTCAAAAGCAAATAGTAAATACTATTACTAGGAATGTTGTGACAAAATTTTGACAAAATTATCACAGACATATTCCTTAAATTCAACATTTCAAATCTTTATATGATTACAATGAAATCACAATCAACATAAATAATCACCATAATGATATATTTACAGACAAACATAAGGAATGTGGCAGATAACATATTGATATCACAAAAATAAAACAAACAAAAAGAATAATACATATATGAGGCATTAATTAGCTTTTTTAACATTTCTCATTAAACAGTGGGAATTATGCAGTATATAATGTAAAACTTGTCAATAAAGACTATTCTAGAATGCAACAATATGTGGTAATTTACTCATAACCTGAGTTGAATTTGGTTCCTGACAATCTTTATAAATATTAAGATTAAAATCTATGACTTTCTTTTACTTACATTATACTTAATCATAAAAAATATAGAAAAAACTCTTAAATAACAACAAAGACTCATTTGAAATCTCTGTATATTTGAAAAGATTTCAAAAACATTACATACACTTAAAAAATTTGTTTTTCAAAATTTAAAATTTACTTTGTCAAAGTTCTCCTTTAAAAATTATTCTCCAAAGATAACTTGGAAATTTTTATCTAGACTTTTTATTTCTTAATTTCTCTTTTTAAATATCAAGTTTTCCTAATAGTTATTAAGTAAACATGTATAATGCTCTTCAGGTAAATATCTGCATTACCTCTATGCGGCTGCATTTCATTTCCGGAATTTTGGGTAATTATCAACTTTTCATTTCCGACATTTTTTAGTTTTCATTTCCGACATTTTTTTGTTTTCATTTCCGACATTTTTCAAATATATATGTAGTACATATATTAACAGATTTGATACTTTTACTAATTTAAAGGATTAAACAATACTAGTAAATAAATCATTGAAATCCATCCAAATCTATTAGTGACTCGGACAAGTATGGTGCTGTCACTGACATTTAATTTAGTGCACATTAAGGAGGCTGGAGGGTCAACAAATTAATTCAAAATTAACCACCAGATTTAAATTATTTTTTATACACGGTATGTTTAGCTGTCAACTATCATTTGACAAAGAAAAAATTCATATATTCTAGTTTTAGAATTTCATCATTTTGTATATCTTTATATGGAGCTCTCCTTTTAAAGGAGATTGAAATAGTCTATAAATGGCTGCCACCCCCTAGCCTCGTTAAATGTGGTGAAAAAGTTATATGCCCATTGACACTTTTACCTAGACTTAGTGCTATATGTATGCAAATATGTGTAGATGTTTTTTTTTATTATTATTATTTTTTACTAATATTGATATTTGGTATAAATACTTTTAAAATTCCATTTTCTTTTACTTAGAAAACATTGAATTGCTGCACAGGTAAATTCCGGAAATGAAAAGAAAATTATGTCTGAAATGAAAACAAAAAATGTCGGAAATGAAAACAAAAAATGTCGGAAATGCTATGCATATTTCCGGAAATGAAATGCAGCGCTCTATGCCTTTTACATGTACTTGTGTAACTTGTGTAACTGCTGAAATATGTATGAAAATTAATGCCAAAAATATTTTGACATTTTAAAATGTCCTTTTATTTGAATATATTTCTATAAATGTGCCATGCTACCAATTACAAGTAGTGCAAAACAAAAGGGATGTTCTTGTGAATTAATTAAAAAAACTTTAATTAAACCACGTACTTACTTCTATCTTTAGTTGATGAAAGCTTTAGTTGATAAATGCTACTGCAATTTCCCTTTATTAAGTTTGATCACAAGCAATGCTACATGTAGGCGCCAAAATACTAACTACAGGCACGTACTGTCCATACAAGTGTCATTACGTGTAATATTAAGGAAAAATACCTTATATCATGTATATACCAATCTAATTTAACCTTAACCTTGCACAAAATTTATTTCTACTTATAATAAGGTCTTCAATCCCTAATAGGAAGAAATTCAATGAAATTAGAAACATAACAGATATGTAGGCATTGAATACTCAGTTTATTTAGACATAGTTCCCATTTATTACTATAAGTATGTTTAGTGGGATGGGTCCTAATTCATGACCTTGAATTTTGGTAAGAGTTATCTGCCCTTTCTTAATTAATAAAAAAAATCAATTAAAAAAAATTTAGCTGGTAAAAAAATTGTTTTCAATTATCATTCTATTTTTAATATTTCAATGCATCTTTCCACCACAGGATTTATTGATATTCAAATTATTTGAATTTTTATTTTGAAAAAACGCTTTTCCCCATAGACTTCAATGCAATCTTTGTTAATTAACTACTCCTTAATTAATGAACTTTTTGAAAATTTCTCGTGGGCAATCCTTTTCCACTATAAAATGCTTTAATATAATATCAGAGTATTGTGTACTTGACAGACATTTAAGGGTAGAGAATTTGGTTAAGTATTAGTAATTGAAAACTAAACTAGGCTAGCTATAGCTTACTAATACATCTAAAAAAAAAATTAAATATATTGCACAAGATAAGAGTATTAGTTAATGCTCATATAGAAATGCATCAAAAATTAAAAAATAAAGTAAATATTGCATGACATTGCTATCAAGCAATAAATTATTACATTTAAAATGGAAATTTTATTTTTAAATTTACATGCTAAATCTATTCTCATGCAGCCAGATGAAAAACCAAAAAAATTAATTTCGTTGTGAATCTCAGAACTTCGTTGTCCAAGTATGTCAATTTACATGGAAAATTACACAACATTTAAATTCCCGAGAAATTTAGTTCCTATAAAGAACCAATCAAATAAAACTCTCTACTAAATCTTATTTAATGTTTAGCCTTAGAAAGGGAATTTTAAGGAATATCCTATTCATTTACCAATTTTTAATTTTCAGTCAAAGGTTGAAATAGCATATCTTAATTAATTACAATAAAATAAAACAAAATCTATAATTATATATACTTTTAAAAATATGTGTAGTCATCAAATTATCTGTTAATTGGGTACACTAGTATCACAGGCTGTACAAAATAAAAAAAAAAACATTAAAAATAAAATTGGTGTAAACAATAAAGTCCTGATATGATCATACATGTGTACATGGATTCATAAATGCCACAATACTACAGGTGTTTTAACTAATAAAGCAGTGCACTAATTTCATAAGAATATAAACTGTGTGACGCATTCTCTGTCTCCAATCTTTGCCTGCAGCTCTTGTTCAATGGCGTCAATTATTCTCCGCATTTTTCTCGTGGTCGTATTCGGTGTTATAATCTTTATTTTTGGAATTTGACTAATTTTCTCAGACTCCTTACTCACGGCAGCTTTCTCTTCCTCTAGGCCTTCTTTAAAAAGCTGGTCATCCTCAGTATTGGAATTTACATTTTGTTCAGAGTTAACATTTTCTTCTAATGGAAGGTCTGCATTTAAGATATTGTGAGTCTCCAAAATTCCGCATGAAGCTAGAACCATGTCGTCGAAATCTCGCGAACTTCTGTCTTTAATGTCGATCTCACTGTCATCTCGGCTTCCATGCGAGCTGAGTCTAGACCGTCGTCCAGAGTTGTCACTCCTGTTTTTATGTTCTGCTTTATCCTCAGCCTTCCCAGCATCCTCCTGGGCATCTGTCTTTGTGTCTAATTTTGGAAGATTAAATTTAGGGAGCTTAATCCCAGAACTGAGATTTTTCGTGATGTTTGCGAAGTTTGGAAAGAGATTCTTCCTTGGCTGACTAGGACTGCTGATCGGTGATGACATCACAGGACTGACCGACCTTGGACTATTTCTTGACCTTGACCTGGGTGTGTTTGACCCTGACAGTTTGGTTAATTCCCCAGCAGAAACATCTCGTGGTACGTGTAAGTTACTCAGTGTTTTCTCCTGTTGTTCTATGTAAATATTCTGAATGTCAGGATGTGGTTTGGTTTTCCTCCTGCAAAAAAGGTGTTTTATTTAGAGAAATCTGAGGAACAATAATATCCATGCATTAATGTTAAAGGATGATCCTTATTACCTTTTAATGTCTATCTATTAATAGATGCACATCTATAAATATCTAAATCGATCATTGAAGAGTCCACATTATCAAGGTTCTCTATAAATCATCAAATTTTGCTAAAATCTTATATCTCTTAAGAATAATATTTATTCTTTAAAAGTGTATTTCAAAATAAACAGAAAATGAATATAAAAGTACACATAAGCTGGCATCAGTTTTACTGACCTATCCAACTTGGTTTTGGTTTCCAGTTCCAGTTTTAGAGACAGAATTTCCTGGGCTGCTGCAAAGGCCTGATGTATTGCCTTCAGACTTTCTACAATTCAATTATAGTTATGATAAATGATTGCACAAACCAAAATCTAGATTTAAAATTTCTAGGCCTCATTAATTGCAAAACCTTTTCATGCATCTTTATGTGTACCTCTGGCATCTTCCGTGTTTTTAACAGCAATGATCATGTTGTTGAAGAGTCTTGTACGAGGTATTCTAAATGTATGGAAGAAGCCCTCTTCTGCATAGTGCTGGTAATGAATTCTCAAACACACAAACTTTGACTTGAAAATGGAAGGCTCGGCACCTACGGTGATATGTTGAGAATTTCAGTATTCATAACATAGAAATGTATTTGATACTCCTATTTATTTTTTGAAACAATCATAGAAATTTTAGATGATAGTACACTTAATATCTTTCAAAGAGTATATCTTTACATTTTACAAGAATATTAATATCATGCTTAATGACATCAATAATGCAAAAGGAAAAATCAAAGCTAAAAAAAAAGAAAACCAAGCAGTCAACATTGTTTTAGACATTGCATGATCCAGCAATGCCTTTCCCTGTTTTTTTTTTTGTTTTTATCCAAAAATTTTAGAATTTTCTTTGTATTTTATTAAAAACACATGCATTAATTGCTTTAATACAATCTAATTGTTCCATTATCTTAAAATTATATTAAAAATATTTGATGATTGGCCACAAGTGTGTATTGACTAACCAATCTCCATCTTGACGATGTCCTCGAGGAATATCCTCTGGTACTGTACGATCTGTTCCTCCTCGTCATCATACCAGGCTACGTACACCGACCTCTGGCTGAGGAGTAGGATAATGTCCATATCAAGTCTGTCCTCATCTCCTGTCCTACAAACAGAAAACACCAAACAATGAGGAGCAGGATAATGTCCATGTCTAGATGGTCCTCATCTCCTGTCCTACAAATAAAAAACACCAAACAATGAGGAGCAGGATAATGTCTGTGTCTAGACGGTCCTCATCTCCTGTCCTACAAATAAAAAACACCAAACAATGAGGAGCAGGATAATGTCTGTGTCTAGACTGTCCTCATCTCCTGTCCTACAAATAAAAAACACCAAACAATGAGGAGCAGGATAATGTCTGTGTCTAGACGGTCCTCATCTCCTGTCCTACAAATAAAAAACACCAAACAATGAGGAGCAGGATAATGTCTGTGTCTAGACAGTCCTCATCTCCTGTCCTACAAATAAAAAACACCAAACAATGAGGAGCAGGATAATGTCTGTGTCTAGACGGTCCTCATCTCCTGACCTACAAACAGAAAACAAAACACTAAAGGGGAGGACTTGGTAAAAAGGAGAATATTGTCCATGAATGCATGGTCCTCATCTGTCTTCCTAAAACAAAACACGAAAACTTGGTTAAGGAGAATGGTGATTTCCACTTTCAGTTTCTCATCATATCTTCTGTCCTACAGATGGAACAAATGAGAAATAGTTCCAAATTAGACATCAAGGAGATGAAACTAACATTATACATTGTAGTTTTTACACAAATTTTGTATGCAACAATTAATACAAAGCAATACTTAGAGAATCAGACATAATTTGCTTTCAAAATGTAATGAACAATTTTCACTCTTATTATTGTTTCAGAGTTGTTCCCCTTTGACAATGCATTTGTTTCCGTATGCTACATATACATGAAGGAGTGGCTATAGAGACTTTTCTGACTTTAATGTCAAGTCAACGACCTATCTTTGAGAAGTGTGGAAAGATCAGCAATAAATTAACATATAAAATTATTGGATAAAAATTTCTCATTCATCAAAGTAAGTTAACATTTTTCACATTCTTGATTCAAATTATCAATTTATGAGAATTCTTTGTAATATATTAAATGAAAAAATATTGCAACCCTTGCTTCTCTGAAAATATACCCTTATAAATTTTTTTAATATACCGGTATTAAATGAAAAAATATTGTAACCCTTGCTTCTCTGAAAATATACCGTGAAGCCTCATTTATCAAGAAGCTTTGGTTTTTAGTCAAAATGTCAGGATATTTGAAGCGTCCAGATACCTGAATTATCAGTTAAATAAGACAAAATAACGTTAAAAAATTCTGTTCCTATGAAAAATCCTCCGGATACTGAAACGTCCGGATACCTGGTGTCCAGATATCTGAAGGTCTACTTTAATATAAAAAAACATTATACATGTACTCCTATACCAGTAACATTTACTCCCTCCCCCTTTTCCCAAGTTTTTGCTTTACTTGATTGACATCTGCACTAAACTTCAGCCTCATCCCATTCAGTGGTCTTTTTTTCAAAGCTCTGTAATACGTACTGTGGGTCAGCGTTGATGAGACTCCAGCCCCCCATACACTGTTCCGGTTCAATGATCAGCATCTTCTTGGCGTCCTCGATCAGCATTTTGAGATTCTCCTCCTTCTCTAGGAGTTCGTTAGAGTCCTCCTCCTCCTCATCGCCCTCCGAGGAGTCCAGCTTGTCCGAGGACAACATCATGGCGTCCGTGAGGACCAGCTGACCCAGCATCAGGTCAATGGTCGCCTGGCGATAGCTGTCACGGAAACGTAGGTAGTACCTATATACAGAAAATCATATGTTTTTATATGAAACTGAATCATTTGCAAATGATTATAGAAAGAACAAGATAACGGATTTTGACTTGTAAACAATTTTTAAAGCCAATTTTAAGATTTTAGTTTATAGGATAAACATTTAACTACATCGATCAGCTCAAAAAGTGCTGATTCAGAATTTTTTTTACATTGTTTTAATAATATTGATATTTTTTTTCAAACCTGAATGACATACATTTAATGAAGTGAACACATCATCTTTATATCATTGAGAATATAAAGACAAATGTAGGTTAGTTATGTGATCAAATCCCATTAAGCATTAGGGGTTTTTTGACACATTTGATCCTGTACCATCCAGGGTCTATATCCTGATAGATATTTTGGAATGATAGTTATACTTTTTACATTTTTGACAGTGTTGCAATGAATACAAAAGCACCATTAACATTCTTAATAAAAATATGGGTAGATTAGAACTCTAATGGATTTCAACTACCAGTAAACGTAAAAAAATGTTTATATATATAATTCATGGAGTGTCCTCTTAGCACAAATATGAAATCTGAATTAATTATTTGCCTTTCTTAGCTCTTATATATGCAAACTAGTTTCATGACCATTAGAATTGTATGACAAGTACATGTACCAGACAGTGAATTTCTGTGAAAAAAATATTGAGATTTTTAAAATGCCTATAAAAATATCATTCCTTGTGGACATACCCTTATAACTTCATTCATTTCTAGAAAAGTTTGTTCCCAAAAATTGGCTTTACAAGTAATTCATACCATTGTTTTGAAAAGAGAGGTAAAAAATCAATTTGATACTTCAGTAAACATGCTTTTGTGAAGACGGTACCAAAAAAGTAAAAGTAAAAGAGCACATTTGAATCCATTTGACCAATAGTACTATACATGTATAATTATCATGCATCTAAGATTCACATCATCTTGTGGCTGAGTTCTATACCTGTTAGCAGAATTAACACCATCCTTCATCATGCCTGTAATTTTCCTTTCCCCTGTCCTAGTATAATCTCCCTGAATTGGAGAAAAAGAATCATGCTTAGAAAGTTCATGCAAATAGGATTAATCTTTTAATGAAAAAAAAAGTTTGGGAACTAGAAACAGTGATGAAAGGCAAATCTTCATTCCATCTGAAAAAGAGAACTTTGATGGCACATTTTGATTGAAAAAAGAAAGTTGTAGCAGATAACATATGCCAGGGTATTATTATACTCTGCAGTAAAGTGTGATTAAAAGATAGAAATACATGTAAAGCATTTTCTAGCCAGACTCAATCCACTTAAATAAAACATATTATGAATATGACTATGTGTTCTTTTCAAAAGTAAATGTAAACAACAATGGAAGAAGAAGTCAACCTTGCTATACACCTCTTTGTAGACCAAAAAAAGGTGAGCTTTGTATTCTTAAACCTTGCCACATATTTTTCTCTGATACTGAGTATAACTTACTTTATAATTCAATATCTGGGCAAATAATAAGAGCACAACTTTGTATTTACTTAAAGTTAAACACTCTGTGATGATGATCATACAGTTAAAATTATTCTGTCAAACTAAGACAAAAGGCCCATGACCATGGGCCACATCACTCACCTGAGTAGCAAAGTCATGCTTTTTTTTCAGATTCTCCCCTTGTAATACCTATTGTGACCCCCATCCTCTTGGGGAGTCATAATATGGACAATTTTAAATCTACCTACCCCTAGGACGCTTCCAAATAAATCAGCCTTTCTTGCACAATGATTTTTGAGAAGAAAATTTTTTCTTCCAAATATATTTCAATGTTAAACTTGGATTCCCTATTGTGGCCCAGCACTTTCCCCCATAGGACATAATTTGTTCAATTTAGAATCTACACTACCCCAGGATGCTTCCACATAAGTTTCAGCTTTTCTGGCCCAGTGGTTCTAGAGATTGAAGAAGATTTACAAATTTTTTTACTGTATATTTCAATGTAAAACTGAATTGGTTCAGTGGTTCTTAAGAAGTTGAAAATGTGAAGAGTATACAGACAGACTGACAGACAACAGGTGATCAGAAAAGTTCACTTGAGTTTTCAGCTCAGGTGAGCTAATAAAGGTACAGTGAGCAATGACCTTGCAAAATGTTACCTTCCCCCTCCCCAACCCACCTCCCATTTGATTATAATGGCTATAAGTCCACGTTTTGCTATGGAAAAACTGAAATAAGTGTCAGACGAAAAAGTAAAATGGGAGGTCAAAATGGCACTAAGTAACAAAGAATCTGTGAAAGTATAATCATTAAATTCTATTCAGTGGTATAGGAGGAGATGTAGATAAGAGATGGGTACCCCAAAAGGTAACAAATTGACAGAAGGACAGACATACAGATGGCTAGACAGATGGACATCTCAATTACTTTATACCCCCCTGCTCTTCGGTGGTCTTCTTCATGCTGGTTTAATATTTATATGTAACCAAACATATCATACATATCTAGCTATCTTTATTAAAAAATTTGTCGTTGTTCTAACTTAATGGAACCACACTTCTTTGCTTCTCAAGTGAAAATGTCTACAGTCCTTCAGAAAATACCTTTAAAGCTGCTGTTCCAGCGTATTGCCTGCTAATGGCATCCCCATTGTTAGCCCAGAGGACTTGGAAAATCCTCTTACAGTTTGTGGGGAGGGTCTCATCTGGGGGGAGGATCCCAAGTTTTCTCAGCTGATAAAAGTATAGATTGATAGCATCATTCATATAGTTTTATAAAATTAAAATTCAATACCTAGAAATATTGTATACAGGGAAATTTTTTGCCCCTTTTGCTATACCCTAATTTGGGTGAGTTTAAAACAGGGCAAATTCAAAGAATACAGTATAACATCCTTCACAAACTATGACTGGACGAATTTAAAACAGAGCAAAATTGTTTGCAAGTATGAAAGCCAAGGGGCAGAATTAAGACGGGGTGAAAATAACGTACCCTGCTTACAGTACCTGAAAATGTTAAATTAGAATGATTACGTACTTGTGTTTCCATGACGATTCTAGCTATGGCGGTCTGGCTGACATTTGTTCTGTCCAGGCAGTCTACACAGTTGACTCTGAACACCCCTCTTTGTTCACATATTGCACTCTCCTTGTTCAACCTTCAAAAGACCACAGAACACTACTGAACTGAATGTCTAAGTTTACATGTACCAGTTTTTCAGTTCTCACAACTCGAAAATGTAATTTATACAGATATAATTTGCAAAACCAAGTTCAAACTCACATTTAATCTAGAATTTTTTCACATTACATTTATAAAACTATCAGAGACTATGAAAATAAATAAGGGAGCTCACCAGCAGTATCTCATGAGTTTAAGCATGTCCGTCACCCCATCAGTCAGAATGGACACATTCTCAAACTTCATACCACGACTGAAAATAAACATAATAATCTAAAGTTCTTTTTAAGTTTACATTTTTTTTCATATTTATTAAGTTGTGTGAACAATTGTATTTAACCAAGAGATGTTTATTGTAAACCTGACTTATGCCCCCTCCCCAAAATAATAATAATTTTTCTCCATGTCCAAAGGGCATATTTCTGTCAAAAAAAGGGTCAATTGCACCCAAAACAGATCTTGACCTAGATATTCTTAAAAAAAATCTTTATAGTACTGAATATCATTTTAGTACAGTCACTACAGTGTATGTGCAACCTCTACAAAGAAAATTTGGAATTTTTCTAAGTCCAAGGGGCATAACTCTGTCCAAAATGGCTCAATCCTACCACAAACAAATCTTGACCAAGATATTTTTATTAAAATCTGTATACCAAATAAACTTCATTTTAATATATGCAACCTCTGCAAAGAAAATTAACAGCAGAAAAATGAACGGAAGCTGATGGCCACAGTGGACCTCGAGTCCTACCAACAGACACCATCAAAGCAATATGCCCTCCCTTCTTCAAAGTGGGACATTAATAACACAAATGACTTTTTAAAAAGGCCTGTGGGTCAAAGAGTTCAACTGAATACAAATCCTTTAAAAAAATTTACTGTTATAAAAATTGGAATGCCAATCAGCTCATTGGCTGCAGATCTTCAATGTCATATTGCATCTAAACTCACCAGTGCTCATGGAAATCAAACGAGGTATAGGTGATGTCAGCTGAGTTATACTCGATGATGTGGTTGACATATGCATCACTGAGTTCTTTCTCCTTTCCCGTGAGTTCCGCGAGATTGATGACACAGACATTACCATGTAAGGTGAGTTGTTCATCCCAGTGTCGACAGAAAGCTTCGTGAGTTTCCTTATGACCTACAATTAAGTCATAAAAATAAGAAATTTAAACAATATAGGACAATCCTAAATTCCTGAAAGAATTTAAAAAAGGGGGGGGGGGGCAAAATTAACTTTTCAAATTTTTTTTGGCTAGTAGATGAAAACTCATGGCTGAATTGGTGAAATTTTGGCTATGATGACTATGTACCCAGTCATATGTACTATACAGTCTGTATATGTTCAGATAATCAAAAGTAATGTATTTCATCATGCCTATGTGCAGTATTTTAAATATTTGTTAAAGTCAGGTAGCTCATAATCAACCTCCCATTCATCAGCAGCTTATAATTTCCCTCTGTTTTAGAAACTTGACAAAGATGATCAGAATGTCACTTATATATACTAAAATGACAATAAACTCTCACTACTAGTTTAACATACCGGTAGTAGCCAAATTGACCATGATTTATAGAAGTAAGTGGATAAACAAGGAAAAGATTTAAGAGCATCTGTCACTGGAATAGACAATCCTACTAATGCCATTATAAGTACTTAATAGATGTCCCTCCAATACACTAACCTATTACTTTACTTTGATTGATAAAACTTGGATTTCTCTTTCTTCTTTTATAACGTTTCTTAAGTCAAATCAATATACCCTATATTTACTGATAAGGAAATCAAATATAGAAGATATACGCTTTGAACGTATAGTATATAAATACACTGTTTATGTACTGACTTCATTATGTTGGCTATCATACTCTGCGTATAATTAAGCCGGCCGGGACAATGTGACATTTTTATGATAAATATTATTTACTAAATGTCCAGTAGTGTGAGAATTTATTATATCCTATCACTGTCCAATCCCTCAGCTCTATAAATCAGTATAGAGATAAATGTCTTTCCTTGATCTATCAGTCCTTAATTTAGGATTAAGGATGTGCTATCAAAATTGAAATTTGAAGTTTCAATTTCCTGAATTTCCTCTAAAGAATAGCATTTTGCAGTATAGTCGAGGATTTGATAATTATCAAAGAATTCTATTTCCTTTCCCATTTCCCAAAAGGCAAAGATCCCAGAGTGGTGTTTATATCTTCTTTTATGGTCATTAAATGAAAAATTAATTTGAAATGTTACAGAACAAATTCAATCAGTCTTTAATAGAAATTGAAGATAAAAAAATCTTTGCAATTGATCTGATGATGAAATACACCATTGATCTACCTTGCAAGAATATGCTATTGAAATTAAATGCATCATGTACACATTCCTTAACTAAAGTCCTCGAAGATTTCATAAAATAAAGAGCAGATAAAAAATGTGACTCATGCAGTGTTAGTTTTTCTTGGCATGATCACTTGTGTTTCTAGGAAAAGGCCTTCCCACTTTACCAAAATACATGTATATGTGTAACGCATGAATTCAATGCGAGTTAATAGTGTCATTCAGTACTGTGTGGCAATGGATTTGATAGCCGCTGGTCAGAAAGCTCAGGTGGTCAAAGAGGCTGCGTGTCTGATAACTGGACATTGAGGGGACCCGGGTTCAAATCCTTGTCTGGTTCATTACATTTTTTTCTCCTCTCCTCCTATTACATTTGATGTTGTGTCATATGCTCTAAAAGTGATGGCCATGTAAAAGACCTGCCATGGAAGAGCCAGGGTAGGGGTCTTTAGGGGACAAAAATCTTGGAGGAGGGAGGAATGTAGTGATCAGATGACTGTGGCTCTAGGAGATTCAGGGGGCCCTGTTCAAATTCGGTCTGATCCGCTGCATTTTCTCCCTCATTACTTTTTTGCCATATGTGCCCTGGAATGGATAGCTTAGCTGGGTGAATGAGCCTTGGTTGTTGTCTTTTGGTTACCTCATGGAGTAATGAGCTTTGTCAACATTCAATCAAAACACCCAAAATAAATACATGTACCACCCCCCCTTCTTTTTTTCAAAGATTTTATGAGAATTGATTATAGTGTCTGTATAGTGATCAGGAAGTATTTTTAAGTTTTTTCAATTTATCATTGATACAAATCAATATTAAAGTCCATTATCCTATTTAAAATTAAAGGACTTTTATCACTGTTACTCAAAGACTGCATGCATGCATGTGAACAATTCAGGGGATAATTAAGGGATTACATGTAATTAATGTATGCACAATCTATTTAATTAAAATACAGCTAATCCAATCAATGAAATTAATTTTTGTTAAACATAAAAATATCACATGGTGCACCTTCAGTTAATATTGATAAGGCTGGGTCATACTTAAGGGTTATATATCTGTTACATAACATCTAAGTGTGCATTGGCACTTTTAGGATTGATTAAAATTATCACAATTTTTAAAGCTGTACTCTAGCTACTCCAACAGATAGCAGTTCTTAATGCTAAAAGGCTGTTCATTAATAATGTGATGGGATAAATATTTCAAGTGTTTCATAAGACCACAGTTCTAAAAAAAAAATTATGTAATTACCAGCTTAAATATTGGTATGTGTTATTTTAAGAGTTACTTCTCTTTTGCAAATGTTTATAGTTAACAAAAACTAATCAAATTTATATTTAAAAAAATTAAAGTCCCATATCCTTTAAACAGTCAATATTAAGACACATTCTCCCTATTTCTTTACATAAGTTGAGATTTTTTTTTACACCTTGAGAGTTGTAACTCATCAAAGTTTGAGGCACACAATGAGTTAATCCCTGGACAAAACAAGCAAACAAATTCCTCTCATTCCAAAATATAAATTGTTATGTAAAAAGAGTCACTCGCTATAATAGCTAATTACCAGATTCAAAAGACATGCCATTCAAATTTGAGACCCTTAGAGATTTCCCCCCCTGAGGCACCTTGTAATTGCCTTGTTTCTGAGTTCTAATCAGTTTGTATTGTTGTCCCCTTCTGTGCCTCAAACCCTTTTTGGTTCAGCATTGTAAATGCAAGTTGTCAAATTTAGCCCACATTTAGTCTAAGTTTGCCCTTCAAACAAGCAATGTCTGTCGTGTTTGTGATTTTATCTCTTTACCTCACCTGTACAGGTAAGATAATTAATATTATATAAACACAATCAAAATCTACCTACTCCTTTAATAATATAGAAATTCAATTTTATACCCTCCTGTTTGTAAATTTTTATTTGGATGTTCATAAAAAGCTTTACAAGTTTCTTTTTTGGCACCTGGTGAAAAAAAATCTCTTGGCAATCCGTACAAGTCTCTTAAGAATGAACAATGTGTACTAGCATAACCTCTGCATTTTTTTTAAGATCATGATCAATATCCCGTTAATAGTTCATATTGTTTACCAGGCTTTATCAGTTCTTCAATATTTCACCGACTTTAAAAATCTACTATTTATTTTCCTCCTGAATTTAATCACAAAGTCACCTTGACTCCTTGTTGAAATAAAACAGCCCAGTAATTAACTAATTGCAGACCATAATTCATTTACCTATTTTAATTTAGAATTTTTTAAAATTGTTTTCATTCAAATCTTTTATTTTTGTACCATAAGTACTGGAAGTAATATATGTTTATCTTTTTTGAAATGCTGATCAAATATGACACACATATATGTCTCCCGCTTTCGTACAGGCAAACGGGAAATGACTGAAGGTGAAAGCCAAACATTAGTGACATTACTAAGTGACTAATTTAGAACTCTTTACATTCATAACTCAGTCTCATATAACAGCTGTATAAGAATGCTTATCATAATCAGTATCAATGTTAAATTTTTATCATGCATTCTTACATGTAAATTGTACCCATTGGCAATATAGGTACATTTTTATTCAGAGATTTAAATCTATAATGGATAAGTGACTATGAATGCTGTTTTTTGATTTCATCTGTTTGTTTTTTTAAAATTCAAACCACATCACTGAACTCTCAATCAAGAAAAAATCCTAATAAAGGAGAATAACTCTTGTTGGCTATCTAAGTCATTAAGTATTTTGTATGGGTGTTTTTATTTTATTAAGAAATTGAACTGTTGAACAGGTAAATGGGATGATATACAACTGTCATTCAAAATATCACGTGCTCCATCTCGATGGTTTGCTGACTATAATGCTAATATTTATTTCTGTTTTGTTACAGATGCTGCTGGCTCTCATTGGGGTTACTCGGGATTAAGTGGTAAGATTTTGATGTGTTATGTCCTCAGAGGTTAAATTATCATTAGATAAAGCTAGGTGTCGTCGATATGTACATTTGAACATTTTTCTAGATTGAAATTGTAAGCAGAATATCTTTTTAATAACATTAATCAGTTTTAATAATCAATAACCAAGGCATGCAGACTGACTTTGGGTTAGGAGCATTATACAGAGGGAGAGGGTTACTTATTATGGTGTGCATAGTAGATACATATACTGCTGTGGTGGACTAGATTACTCTATATGTCCCTGGATTTAACATCATAATTCCATGTTTATATACCACTATACAAGTTAGAGGAGTAGAGGTTAAGCACTGAGATGTATTCAGGGTCATTTAAGGACAAGGAATCTTTCTCATTGAAACGACTTGACATATTATTTATGTCACACCAACGATTTTACTAGAATGAGGGTTCAAAATGGACTGTTTAGGAAAAAATTTCTTAAGCCGTTAAACTAGACAAATGAGTGAGGAATATTAATTAACTTCATTAAGAGAAAACGAAGCTAGGTTTCTCATTTATTTATGTTACTAGGTTTTCTAGATTCTAAAATTTACTACATGCATTCTCTTTGTATTTATAATACATTTGTAAAACAGTGCATTATCCGTATTGCTGTGCACAGAAATCAGACTCTGACAAGAATTTTTTTTTTGTGTTTGAAAATTTGAATTATAATATCAATATACTGGTATAGATTCATATAAATCAAATAATCCAAAAAGGTCAATATTTGAGCTACTCAGTAAAATTTTAGACCGAGATTCAATATCCCATTATGTTTATATTCTCAGAGCTCTTTTTCTTTATTCTTTCACAGCCTTCTCTCTTACTAAACTTCAGGAGTACTCAGTGGCATTGCTAGCTGAATAATTTGAAATGTGCATTAATTATCAAGATGAAAATATTCTTGTACTACAAGTAAATGGCATTTCTTCAAAAACACATGCCTTATATGAAATTATAAATTTGCATTTCTGTAAATATTCTTTTGCTATTAAAGTCAATGCAAGTCTCAAGAGAGAGAGATCGAGACAGAGTCGAGAGAGAAACAGAGAGAGAATGAAATATGGAAAGAAGTGATACATGTTTATACATTGAATTACTAAATTAAATGTATTCTTTATAAGATTAATAGAATGATATTGCATATATATGCTATATAATGAAATTCAATAAGTTTGAATTTTCAGCTTTGGTTTAATTTTCTTAATTTTGACAGATCATTTTTGACTTTACTGCCAAAAAAGACACAAAGAAATTAATTGCTCTAAAAAGCTCAATGACATACTTGGACATTTAACCTTTCAAAACATAAAGGGTTCATTTGTTAACACAGTGTTAAATAATGCTTGTTCTTCTTAATCGGCAAATAATCAGTAATTAAATCAGAATTAATCTGCATGCACCTTTGTTTTTAATTTATGAAATCATCAATGCATTCTAAATTTGAATAAGGGCACAGTCGCACACCTTCTATTAAATGATCAACATGCTATATAAAGTGAAAATTTAAATTCTGCCACAGTATTTAATCTTGTACATGCATATTATGAATATTTATAGATTGAAAAATAAGGAAGGTTGCCAATTTCAAAATTTCAAAACAATTTGACATATACGTTGACCAGTTTAAATCATGTCCGATATTGACAACCAAACCATCTTTATTCACTGCATACCCCCTAAGTATACATTATTTATCAAAATAAGATCAGGGTCAAAAAACAAGGTCACATGTAGACGTACGTTGACTTCTAAATGAAACTAATATTGGGACTGAATTATATTATCTAGCTACCTCTTTATTTATTTATGTTTATACATGTAGTATTTCAAATTTATGTCAGAATTGGTAGTGAAAGCTGCCTCTTTGAAAAGATGGAGGTAAATTTTATTATGGTATCATTGATAGAGTGTAAATTAGATTCAATACCATATCTGTACTGAAGAATGGGGTTATCATTGTTTATAAGTAGTTCATGTAAACAAGCTTGTTATTGATATCTACATACATGTATATTTACATTTCCATTACATAACAGTGATCACAAATTCATATGTCCCAATTGATATTTGTTAAAAAACGATACTTTAATTGTTTTAATTATATTGAAAATGTAAGCAATTAAGACTTAACAAAATTTACCATTTTATATTACATGTACTATGAGTTTTAAGACACTTCACCAGCTCATGCAAAAAAACAAATGCATACATTTGTAATAAATGTTAAATATGAATTTTGATTTTGTTTTTCGTTACAATTCAGGCCCCCAGCACTGGCACAAGCTGTTTGACAATGCCTGTTCTGGACTGAGCCAGTCTCCCATTAACATTGAGAGGGAGAAGGCGATCTATGACCCCGCCCTCAATGACTTCGCTATCTGGCACGACCCCCCACAACCGGGCTCGTACTTCGACGTCACCAACAACGGACACACAAGTAATGCATTTTATGTGTTACTCTGCATGTATTAATGTCTTTCAGTTGCAAAAAGAATCAAATGTCAAAATTAAATCTAGTACCTTATTTGAAGTATTTTTAGCATAAAATAATTATTTAAATTTTTTAAAAGTATCAAATAACAAAGCAAATATCTTGTATCTAAATGGGATAAAGTATCAAATGGAATCAGAGAAAAAAATCTTTATCAAACTCTGACATAACTGCATACTGATAAAATAGTTAAATTCATCATTTCTCATCTCTCCTTTTATTAAATTAGTCCAAGTTGACACAGTGGGTCCATTTTACGTGACAAATGGTGGTCTCCCCGCAACCTACAACACAGTCCAGTTCCACTTCCACTGGGGCCACAAAAATGACCGCGGGTCAGAGCACAAGATTGATGGACGCGCCAGCCCATTGGAGGTATTCATATCTAAAGAAAGATAACTCCAGCTTACAACTGTAAAATCAGGATATTTGAATTAGAGTTATTCCCCTTTAATTGTGTTTTCCTCTCTGCTTGCAGCTTCACATTGTCAGTTATGATTCTGATACGTATGACATGATCACAGAAGCCATGGTCCAGCCTCAGGGTCTAGCTGTTCTAGGAGTTATGTATGAAGTAAGGAAACACACTCTAACACCAAACTGAGAGAAAAATTTAAATACCATTTTAAAAATTATAAGTAGAGCACTTAATAGAATTGACGTACATCGCTAAAATGAACACTGGCTGCTATACTCAGCTATGATAAATGTTATGAAACAGCCAAAAATGTTAATTTGATTGATTTTTAACAAATCTTTTTTAATTAACATATATTAAAATTAAAAAATGGTATTTATGTATCTCATCTTGAAGATTAAAATGCATAAAGCAATGAAAAAAAAAAAGCAATTAAAATGGTCATACCATACAGTAAGGTAGTTTATGTTACATTCAATTCAGTGTTTCACACTTAAATACATGTATTAATGAAAGTAAACAAGGGGTTGATTACCTAACAGGATTCTTCCTATATGTCTATTTATTTGAAATTGACAGATCGTAGATGAGGACAATCCTGCGTTGGAACCGATCATCAACGCCATGAACACAGTCAGAGATCCAGGTAATATAAAATTCAGTCAATTAACCACAAAATTCATCAACAAGAACGTAATAAACAGCCACCTACATGGATTTGTCTTACTAAGTCATTTTGCTGTTCAAAACAGGAAGTTAATTTATCGTTATTGCAGGAGCAAAGGTCAAGGCCCGAATCGATGCCCAGCCCATCAGAAACTTTCTCCCTGAGGATACATCCCGATATTTCCGTTACAATGGATCCTTGACCACACCCGGATGTTTTGAGAGTGTCATCTGGACCGTGTTTGATCAGAAACGCACCATTTCCCACCGACAGGTAAAAACAATTATTATCAGGTAGTACATTTTTAAATTAATTTTTGTAGTCGAAACATAGGATTTCCAAGTCCATAGGAAATCAAATTAAGCGCCACATAGACATACTGCAACTAACTCAAAGAACTAGGCAACCCTGATGTTCTTCTCTAAAATTAAAATAATTTAATAAAGAAATTAATAATGAAATATGCCAAGAAAGAAATTTCTTATATTATATACCACATTCCCTGAATATGGTTTATTTCTGGAATTTTACCTATTTATTAAACTTCCGAAAATTCTTCCCATTTCTACGACTGTTATTCCTTTCTTATTAATACAGATGAGAATGTTCCGTACTCTCCTTCAACATAAAAAGAGACAAGACAGGAGGAAGAAGAGGAGCACTAAAGGTCGCCGTGAGCTGGCGGCTGAGGAGGTCCTGGACGAGGTGGGAATAAAAGGAAAGGTCCTCGAGGAGCTGTCTCTGGAGTTACAGATGGAGAAGAGGCAGAGGGAGCAGGCTAAACTACAGGAGGGCACCATTATAAAGGTAGAAAAAAAATAGTGGACCTCAGACAGAGGGAACAGGCTAAACTACAGGAGGGCACAATTATAAAGGTAGAAAAAAATAGTGGACCTCAGACAGAGGGAACAGGCTAAACTACAGGAGGGCACAATTATAAAGGTAGGAAAAAAATAGAGGACCTCAGACAGAGGGAACAGGCTAAACTACAGGAGGGCACAATTATAAAGGTAGGAAAAAAATAGTGGACCTCAGACAGAGGGAACAGGCTAAACTACAGGAGGGCACAATTATAAAGGTATGTAACTGGAGGGAGGAATAGTGTCCTCATGTAGACAGCGGGAGCAGGCTAAACTACAGGAGGGCACAATTATAAAGGTAGAAAAAAAATAGTGGACCTCAGACAGAGGGAACAGGCTAAACTACAGGAGGGCACAATTATAAAGGTAGGAAAAAAATAGTGGACCTCAGACAGAGGGAACAGGCTAAACTACAGGAGGGCAAAATTATAAAGGTAGGAAAAAAATAGTGGACCTCAGACAGAGGGAACAGGCTAAACTACAGGAGGGCACAATTATAAAGGTAGGAAAAAAATAGAGGACCTCAGACAGAGGGAACAGGCTAAACTACAGGAGGGCACAATTATAAAGGTAGGAAAAAAATAGAGGACCTCAGACAGAGGGAACAGGCTAAACTACAGGAGGGCACAATTATAAAGGTAGGAAAAAAATAGTGGTCCTCAGACAGAGGGAACAGGCTAAACTACAGGAGGGCACCATTATAAAGGTAGGAAAAAAATAGTGGTCCTCAGACAGAGGGAACAGGCTAAACTACAGGAGGGCACAATTATAAAGGTAGGAAAAAAATAGTGGACCTCAGACAGAGGGAACAGGCTAAACTACAGGAGGGCACCATTATAAAGGTAGGAAAAAAATAGTGGTCCTCAGACAGAGGGAACAGGCTAAACTACAGGAGGGCACCATTATAAAGGTAGGAAAAAAATAGTGGACCTCAGACAGAGGGAACAGGCTAAACTACAGGAGGGCACCATTATAAAGGTAGGAAAAAAATAGTGGTCCTCAGACAGAGGGAACAGGCTAAACTACAGGAGGGCACCATTATAAAGGTAGGAAAAAAATAGTGGTCCTCAGACAGAGGGAACAGGCTAAACTACAGGAGGGCACCATTATAAAGGTATGTAACTGGAGGGAGGAATAGTGTCCTCATGTAGACAGAGGGAGCAGGCTAAACTACAGGAGGGCACAATTATAAAGGTATGTATAGAAATAGTGTCCTCATTATACACAAAGTAATAAAGGGAGGAATAGTGGTCCTCAGACAGAGGGACAGTATGTAATAGGAGGAGGAATAGTTGTCCTCAGGCATAAATCACAAGGCCATTCAGCAGGAGGGGACAATTATAAAGGTAGAAAAATAGTGTCCTCATTGTACACAAAGTTATATAAAGGTATGTAATAGGAGGGAGGTATAGCGGTCCTCAGACAGAGGGAACATGTCAAACAGCAGGAGGGCACAATTATAAAGGTACAAAAATAGAGTCCTCATTGTACACACAAAGTAATATAACGAAAAAATAGTTGTCCTCAGACAGAGGAAACAGGCTAAAAAGCAGGAGGGCACAATTATAAAGGTATATCAAATAGTGTCCTCATTATCCCATGTAAACAATATATATTGGCAAGGAAGGTCAAAGAAAATGGTCCTCATAAATATTGGAATAAATTAATTAGCTAGGTGAGATTATAGTTCCCACATTTACAATATAAGGTTTAAGTTTTCATCTGAATGCCAGGCAGTGGTAAGATGTTGTATATCCCAGTCAACTGGAGTGGTTGATTTGGTTCAATGGCCCTTAGACTAAATTAGTAAGGTAAACACAGTTTGTCATATTAGTCATGTATTATTAAAATGGTGAGGGAATATTCTGCCCCATCATTGCTAATCTGTTACATTATTAGAAAGTATCCATAAGGTGTTTTTCTGATTGGTATGTTACATTGTGAATACAAGAGTTTATTTATTATTTATCATTATGAAGCACTTACAAAACAATGCCTTTCCGATCGTCTGATCATTTGAACCTAATGTTGTCCTAGTCTATGAAACTTGGAGGCATATGGCACAAAGCGTGCAATAATAATTATATTTTCACATTTAAAAACCAAGAAAAATGGATAAAATGTGAGAAAAACCTTGAGGCTACATTAGTAATCATACAAAACTCTCCTGTGTGCCTAAAGTTATTATAATTATATAAATATAGTGTAACATTAGATGGCTAGAAAGTCAAATTACGAAATTATTTTAGCCAATTATTAGCATTCTCCAAATTCTCTATAAAAAAAATGGACAGTCCTTTACTGCCCTAAAATACAGTCAAACTTGCTTATAGCAAATGATGCGTATGATGAACTGATGCTCATATCAAAGTGATTTTATATTACCCATGGATTTATACCAATTATCAAAATAGTTTCATATAACAAATTCTGTTTATAACAAAGCAAAATCACCTGTCCTTGGCATATCTTAAATAACACAGAGATGGTTGTGTCAGCTATTCCTCAAATTCAACTTCTCATCAAAGATGAATGAATTGTCCATGAACTTGTTATGAAATGTATTGCCAGAAATACAACTTGCATGAAGAATTAACATGGTTATGTAAATCAAACAAAGCATGTTCATTTTGAAGCACGAAAAATAATGCTTATTAATATTTGATGAAATTCCTGAAGATTTGTGGCATCTTTGCATGCTGGTCTATACCAATTTCAGCTTTAATTTTCAAAAATACATATTCTGAGAAAAAAAACTGGTCAAATTTACATCTCCTGGCCTTCAAATTGCATGCCGGGCCGTCTAATAAATTTTACGTTGTTTCTGTATGATTAAATTCCAAAAGATAGAGGCAAAAGGCTTTGAATATTCTGTTAAAGTCAATCAGAATTTCTGTAATTGATTGGCCAAAACAGTAACAGGATTGACAAAACAGTGTAACAGGATGGACAATGAAATCTACATTTTAAATAAAAATTGACTTTTTAACACTTTATTGGTTAGGAAAAGAGAAATAAATGTAGAATAAAAACATGATTTTGTCAAATCTGGCAAATTTGAGACAATAAAAGACATTTATGTCCATCCTGTTACGAAATTTAATTGTAATTAAAAGTGCTATTAAAATATTTATCAGTTCAATTTTTGTTTACTAAAGGTACTCTAAGCTGTTGCAAAACTAAGAATTTTTCATAATTTTAAGAAAAACAAATGATGAAACTTAAATATGTATATAAATACCAGGATAATTTGTCCCTCCTGTTACAATTTCTGTCCATTCTGTTACAAGAGTGCATGTTTAAGTTATAATGGCACTATTTGAAGCACTAACTTACTTCAATATGATTTACAAAGTTTTTTAACATGTGTTATTAAACTTATATTACTTAGAAAAATAAAAGTAATTGTTTTTATTGTTAAAACTCAAGATATATGAAGTCCATGCAGTTTTCCTTACTGTTACCATATTAATTGTAACAGGAATGACAGTAACAGGATGGACATTTCTCATATAAATCACCAGTTAGTTAGTATAACGTACTCTTTTTGCATCATCGAGACATTGAAACAGTTTCTTTGTAACTTAGTTAATCTGATTGTTTTAGCAGAATAGACAATTTAAAGAGTACTTGCATATTATGAAGGTAACAGATAGGACATATTTTCATTATACTCTACCAATAAGACAAACTTATCGACCTTTGAACCCTTTCTTTACTCACTTTCAAATCATGGCGCTCATAAACTTGAGACAACAGAAAATGATGATATATTGTGGATCATGAAAACAGTTCCTAGGAAAGTGAGATAACTTTTATTTTAACATTTTCTTTCTGGTAACAGGAATGACATAAACTGGAGGGACATGTTACTTCCTGAATGTTAAATGCACAATACTAGTCTTTAGTGGGCGGCATAAGTAAAACAATCATATTTAATTAATCTGTAAATGAATTCAATTAATATGAGGTGCAAAATTTGTACATATCTTCACAGGGTAATATTTTCCCTATCATTTAAATAAGCGCGTTATAAAATCTTTGTTAATGTGACATGGTTAACGTTTACTGTTAAATTTTACTCGGAATGCATAGAATGTTTTTTTATAAAACACCTGGGAGATGATCATAAAATAACTTATAAGTTGTATGACCATGTATATTAACCAACGGGAAAAAAATTCACTCTAAAAAATGTTTTTCCTTTTATTCTGATCAATAGACAAAAAAGTGGACTTTTTTTGAAAATGACCCTTTAAATAAGACAATTGTTTGGAATCAATGTTTTAACCTATATAAACATTTAACCTAATTGAATGGTATAGATTTTCCCTGTCTCCCCATTTTTGTAAAGTACGAAAACAACCCTTGTTAGAAAACCTATATGAATCAATACACTATAGGTTTTCGTTTGGAATTGAAAATGACATTTGAAGCAGCTGCAGTTTCTTCAGACAAATAAATCTTTTTTCAAAAAAGATTAAAATAAAATACTTCATGCACTAAACTGATTGTCACATTGGTAATGTTTTCGAAACTGCGTAAAATGTAGTTCAACAACATGTGCTTCTGTAAGTTGCGTAAGAATATCAAGTTTTTGTCTTCTTTCTACGCAATCTACTATTTCAGATACTGTGTCACAATTACAAGTATATTATTGCATAATGTTTATTTACAATAGAAATTTTAAAAAGTTTCAGTTTTGTTCAAACATATTTGGAAAGAAAAAAAAATCATTCAAAAATTTTATTTAACATTATTATTGAAATGCAAGTTTTAAGACAAAGTTGTATGACTCTGACCTAGAAAAATGACTTTGACCTACAGAACTTGGAACATGAGTCCATGACCTTCTTATAAAATATGAAATCCCTATCCATAAATATATAATGACTATATTGCTCCAAAAATATTTCAAATTAAGATGATAGACAAAAAAATTCAGAAACAACCAAAGGCACTTAAAACTGGAGCTATCCCCCTGCCAAAAAAGTATATTTGTCCCGAAGTAAATTAATTATTACATTGTACTCCCATTTGCATCAACCTCAGCCACCCACTCACAAACTAATAAGAGCATTTCTATCTGATAATTCCCCTCCTACTACCTTGTGAGGTGATCATGTCACTGTGCTTTTTTAATAACACATTTATTTTGATGGAACTCCTATGATCCCAAAATAATTAAGGTTAAAAGAAATACTGTAAAAGCAAAAATATTCATGGAGGATTTAATTTCATTTATTTCATTGTTAACAATTATCAAAGAAATTTTCTAAATGACTATGAATTGAATAGTGTTATGTATTTTAAAACAACGGAATTACATGCTCACGAAACTAGTGACAAATCAACGAAATTTCATCCCCATGAAAATTTGTGCTTCTACAGTATATCATTAAGTTATCTGTATTCAAAATTATAAAATTACTATCTATTGTTACAGGAATACCAAATGACGCACAATATGAGTGAAGACGAAGCGGTGAAACTGGAGGACATCCCCAAAGCCTTCATACAGGAGGCTCTGTACGATAATTACCGCCCAGTACAGCCGCTCAACACCAGGAAGGTGTACTCCTCATTCAAGATAGAGCCCAAAAAAGGTATAAATAATGGCTGTTGTATAACATACAGCATAGTGAAATTAGCAGTGGCTGGAAACTAGTTTTCAGACAAGTCAATTTGTTATCTGAGTCTGATTAAAACTTAAAATGTATTTATCGTAATACTTCAACATTCCTATCTCTCTTATAAATGGGTTGAAATCAAACATTTAAAAAGTTGTGTTCACTTGCACCTGACCTTTTTGCATTTCTAATTTTTTTTTTCTATCGTACAATGGACCAAAATAATTATTATGAACAGTTCCAAATTGATTGGTTATATACATTTGTTTTTATCATCCAATCAAATCTTGTATCTCTGTCTGCATCAATTTGGCTACAATTTCAGTTGACCTTTTAAAACCAAATATTGACTACAAGGTTGTGTTTGAGTTATTATTTAATTATTGAATCATAAAATGAAACAGTCACTTTGGCTTTTTCCTTTTTCGTCAATGTGATAATTTAGCAACCAAAACTGACGTGCAATGTACATTTTTACTACCTGTTTAACTCAATAGAATATTGTACATCTTCGAAAATTACACCATCATTCGAAACTCAAAACAGCAAATATTGTAAATTAAGAAACAGAGAGAAGTAGTGTTACTGGTACATCATTTTCTGACATTAACAACAGACCTGTCAAGTCTGATAACACAGATTATGCAATTTACCAGTTAGATAAGTGAATACAAAACTCTCTTGAGAAATGCATAATATTATTGTTTTCATTTTCATTGCAGGTCCCTCAAAAAAGATTCACTGGGGATACACTGGGAAGAAAGGTGATTGCATGTCTAGAAATTAAGATGCATAGACTGCTTAATCAGGCTTATTAACAAGAAATTGCTTATAGAAATCATATTTCTCCAAAAATATATAGTTCAATTAATTCATGACATGCCATATCAATTATTGAAAATTTGTCTTGTGTCTAAACCATGAACTATTGCACATCATTAGGTGAAAAGAGTCAACCATACAAAGATAAAAAAACATAAT